CAAATTTAAATTTTATTATCTCAAATATTTAGTTGTGCTTTCATCAAATAACTTTGCGTCCAAACTAAGTATATTTTTAAATTTTTCATCACAGATCAATTCCTATTAGCTCTTGATCATTACATAACATAAGAAAATCACTATTAAAACAAACATTAATTAACAATCTTCTTAAAAAATTGTAAAATAAAATTAGAATAAGCAATAATTTGTGTATGTTTTTTTATTAAAAATGCTCAAACCTCTTCTACTTTTGAGATAAAAATTAATAAATTATTGAGTTTCTTCCGAAAAACATATAAGCTAAATTGGGCTAGACTAATATTTAAATGGGGCTACAAATAAAATAATCTATACTAAACTAAAGAAAAAAAAAAATTACATGGGGCTGGAGCCCACCCTTGTCCAAGGGTGGCTCCGCCCATGGTCCTACCAACAATCAAAACGGACATGTCATCAATAAATATGAAGCAATGTCATCAAAAATAAAAATGAAAGGACAAAAAAGAGTTCTTGATGCGAAATGCTGTAGTGTCTGATGGTACGAGTCGATGCTATCCGAGTGTTTTTTCGTAGAATTTTGAGACACGAGTCTTTTAGAGTATAAAATACAAGCTCATTAAGTGTTTTATTTTGATCTTGCTGAAGATTTTTTGGAGTTGTGAATGGTTTTGGTGTTTTTCTTTTTTTTTTTATATATTTTTATTTTAGTTGAGCATGATTGTGGCTGATGAAAATTTAATGCTCAGATTATTGAAACTTAATTCCTAAAACTAAAAAAAAAAGTCAGCAACATGAATTTGCAGTGCAAGTGAAGTAAATCAATTTTATAACCATTTTGTACATATTTGACCAAACATAGTATGAGCTAATAAGACACACGGTCACAAGCACAAAAACAAACAAAATTGTTCACCAAAATGAATAAATAACTAAAAATGCCTGACCTTGGCAGAAATTTAAAGTGTTGACAAGAAAGAAAACAGCCATGAATTGAATATGGCAACACAAAATGAGAATCATTCTAGTACATTATACTCCAAAGACAATTTCTAATCTTTCTGCTTTTCAGTGTATGACAAAACGAAAAATCTCTCTATCGTCTCGTGAACTCCAAAAAAGATATCTCTCTCTCTCTTCCGGGAAAGAAAAATTGCTTACTCTAAATATAACGCAACATCCCCCACAAAACTTGCTCTCTGCTCGAAAACTCAAGCAAACAAATCAATTTCAGGATCGATCAATTTCATTTTTTTTTTTCCCAAATAAAATGGATATGAATTATATTAGTGGAAAAAAGTTTTAGGTGTTAGCTCGTCACTTTGGTACAAATGCAGACCTCTCGTTCGTCCGGGGGTCCCACCTTTCATTGAAGCTAAATCAAGCACAAACCTTCAAGAAAAGAGATGGGAAGTCAAGGAAGAAAAAAAAAAAAAACCCCCAAAAAAAGGAAAGGCGAGTAAGGTTACGTGCAAACTCTTCATGTGACTAACGTACATGTTTACAGCTGGTTTTTCTCCCTCTGAAATCCCACAATTTATAAAGATTTTTCGATCAATTTTCACGACTCTGTGTTCCAAAGGCACGTGAAATGACTCCAACACTGTATTATAATTTAATGTCAGCGGTAAATTTCATAAGGCAAAAATCAATATATATAGAAGGGTGCATTATAAAAGAACATGCTTAGGTACCTGATTCCTCTGGATGGTTCACGCCATGAGTGAGGCCCAAAAGATCCTAAATTCCGTAGAACAAATTATTTAAGTGTTATGCAAAAAGGAAAAAAAAAAAAAAAAAAAAAATCGATTATGAAAAAAATATAACATGTCTAATATCAAGCACTGAAAATCAACCTTGAGTTTCTTGTAGCATGCCCCTAGATCATCATTTACCAAAATATGATCAAACAGGCCCGACGATTTTCCCTGTTCAAGCTCCGCCTTTGCATTCCGGAGCCTTTTCTGGATTTGTTCTTCTGTCTCGGTTGCCCTGTTTGAGACCATAACTGTGATTATTTATATTTTCAAGAAACATAAAACATGCAAAGTTCAAACGAGCTAGATATATAATGGCTCAACTCAAGCCTAAGCCCACCTCGCACGAAGGCGTTTCTCAAGCTCATCGAATGAAGGAGGACAAATAAAGATAAAAATGGCTTCGAGTGAGGTAGACCTCACAGACCTTGCCCCTTGAACATCAATATCAAGTATGCATCTCTACATATAAAAAAATAAAAAATAATAAAAAAAAAAATTAAACAAAGGTATTCATCCTTAAATTTGTTTATTTACAACATAAACTGCATCACTTTTGATGTCTAAGCACCTTTGCACACACACACACACACATACGAGTCAAAAGGGTCCATTTAGAATTTATCTCTTACCTTTCCTTTGTCAGCAACTGCGTCAACGGCTTCCACACTCGTCCCATACAGATTTCCATGAACAACTGCAAATTCAAGGAATTTGCCATCCTCGATATCTTTCTCCATCACATTGCGTTCTGTGAAATGGTAGTGGACCCCATTTTGCTCGTTTTTCCTTGGTACCCGGGTCGTGTGGCTTACAGAGAATCCAAACATGGATGGGAATTCTTGCATCAGTTTCGAAATCAGAGTGCCCTTGCCTACACCAGAAGGCCCGCTGATGACTATGGGCATTGGGCCTTTGCCTATTACCCCTTTGCTCCAAGAAACTACTTCGGTTCCTAACCTGATTTTACGCTCCCTCACAAATGGAGTGTTCACCTGAAAAATGCATACAAGATAAGGTAAGGTAAAAAGGGGAGGGGTTTTGGTGAATGGATTCCAAATGTGATTGAGTGAAAAAATGCCAAAAACTAAGGGGGTGCTTGTTTATGGATTTTTTCAACCAAAATATTTCATTTTGTTAACTATAGTTAAAGTTGAAAAAGTAATGTGGTTAATTGTTAGTGGAATTTAAAAAATATATTAAAATAATATTTAAAATAAAAATAATTAAAGTTGATTTGATATAAAGTAGGAGATAAATGATTGGAAATAATTGGTAGTTAAAATTATGTGAGTGGATGAATAGTGAATTAAAGTTGATGTGATGTGTAAGAATGATTGGTTTTTATTATTTAATTGTATGAATAATATTAAAGATAGTGGGGTTGAGTTAAAGTTGAGTTAAATATTTGAGTTGAAAAAATTGGATTGAAAAAATCCATAAACAAGCATGCCCTAAACATGTTGATAATCCAACTCCAGATTTTAGGTTGCAATTGGATATAGATTTTTTTTGGGGAAAAAAATAAAAAAAAAATAGAGATGGGGAGATAGAAAAGTTGTTTTTAGGAGAAGTGAAATATTTAATTAGTAATAATTGATGGTTAGAAATACTTTAGTCGGCGAATCGTGTATTTTGTTGAAAAACATACCATAATGATTGACTTTTAATTTTCAATTGTTTTAGTGAGATTATGAATAGTTTCATTCACAACTTCAATGATATAAATCTTGACTAAGCAAACTAAAGTGAAAAACATCATACATACAATGGCCATTTACAATTTTGATCAAAACATTATTCAGAATCAACAGCATGAACCAAGGAGCTTATTTATTTGAGAATCAGACCCTAGAGCTGAAAATCACTTTTTTTTTTTTTGAGTTTTTGCATACACTCCACTAATAGTGCATCAATGTATTAGGAGCTCAAACACCAACCTCAAGAAACCAAAATGTATCGTCCAAGGTCGTGTTGCTTTTAATGACCAGAATTCGATCTTCATCTATATTAATTGCTGAATGGCCCTTCGACAGCTTCGGTTTAGTCCCCAACACAACCGGGACAATCCTACACAGAAAATATAAATTCTAAATCACCTAAAACCCAAAACATTTTTCTTTTTCTAAAAAGGACAGAATTGCATCAAACTATCAAAATCAATTCTCCAAACATTACCATTCACCAGTAGATTTATCGAGAACTCTGACTCCAAATGCAGACACAGATCTGTCGTCGGTTTCACCAATGACATACTGGACAATATAAAAAGAGTTGAAGAAGATTCATTCGTGATGAAAAATTCACCACTAAACATGAAAAGATGTTTTTTATTTTTATTTTTTCTCGATTGATAAATCGGATTTTCATACTGTCTTATTGCAACCAATGCTGACAGCAGTTTCACATCCCTTAGACTTTAAGGGAAAATTGGTCTCCTCGATAGTATCTATAATGAAAGCTGGAGCTTCGCCCTAATCACAACAAATCCATAAAAAAAAAAAAA